CGCCGCAAGTACAGCAACTTCTACGAAAACCAAGCGTGCCACATTTTTTGACGTCACAAGAACTATTTAGTGATGGAAACCTCCTTCCGCTCGCTCTAAATCGATTGATTAAACGGAATACGCGTAAACACGCGTATTCCATTCCATTAATCAATTCTAAATAGAATATTTTTTGTTCAAGTATTTGTTGATTACAAGTAGTCAAAATATTAATATAGTAGAAAAATACTATTATAAGGTAGTTAAGTCCTTTATTTTACTTGTTTTTAAAAAATGTTGAAACCTACTCAAAAAAATTGAGACTTTAATTTTTAATCGATTTCAAACATTAAAATTATTGTCCTTCCAATAAAATGAGCTTATGATATATAGGTACCATCGTTTTGTACTGGAAGATCTTATCGATTAACTTAAATAATGAAAACGCACGTCAATATATGAACTTGCGACTGCCTTAATTAATTTTACTAGATGGTTTGGGAATTTTTCTGTTGGTAATTGATCACATTGATGAATGTCAGGACAACTGAAAATGTTACTGCTGACAAAATATAATAAAATCTTATTAATCAGAAGAGGTGTACTTAATGACGGCCTCGTGTGAAATTTTTGTGATTTGTTTATTATTTCTCAGATGTCTAACTCTGCTACTCTGCATATTTGGATAGCATCTTATATGGGATAAACTAGACCACCTTCGTCCTTGAAAGCAACGAACTCATACGTATGACCAACTCCAGGTTTTTGTAAAGACAGCGCACGGTTAATTCTTTGCATTATATATATTTTTGTATTATTCGTACTACTTATCCGGTGATGTATGTAATTATTTGCTCACTATATTCGGACATTCGAGGCAACGTGCTGCAAAAATTATCCAAATTACAGATACTTCTGATAATAGATACTACAAAACTGTAAAAAAAAACAAAACGTTACTAAACGTTATAACAAAAAAGTTCTAGAATATTTGTATAATATTGCTAAGGTCATAATAATTTTCGTCCCTCTGTTTTCAAAGTCGATCAGAATCGAGAGCAGTGTTGCCTTACGTACACATCACTAAATGTTAAATTTGGCCAAAAGAATATACAACCGGCCGTACACGAAATCATATTGCAAAATTAAAGACTCCCTACGTGTTAGATAAAGATATACGGAAAGACGACATGCGTCTAGATTCCACACAAATTTGATTCAAAGTGTATTCCGTACCATTTCCGTACCATTTAAGTTTATTTGAAAAGAGCAATCCCTAGAGTTTCTTGCTCGTTCTTCTGAGGGAAGTCAGCACAGTGAACGAGTAGTAGCTTAAAGTTACATATTCAAGTGTAATTTATTTCACCTATGGAATAAATGGTTTAAACATAAATACTAAGTGATTTGTTTACTTTTAAATTTGGGACCTATAATATACATAAAAAAGGATATATTTAATTTTTTATTGAATTGATATTCAATTATTTTTATGTGAAATTACTCCATTAGTTTGTTATAATTATTAATACAAAGATCGAACACTCAGAAAAAAATTCCTTCAATACGGTCGGATTCGAACCGACGTCTTCTAGCATACCATGCCAGACACTATACCAACTAAGCCACGGAACGAACCAGCGGACCTTACGAATTTTTCTGTGCTTGAGTCATATCTTTGTATTTGGTTTTTCAACGACTTTTTAGCCGTATCTCCATTTATGATGAGTCTTATGATATTTCGTCACCCAGTTTTACCTTTACAGCTACCAGGCTTGGCTAGAGATGTTGTTATTCATTGTATTTAAATTGTTATTGAATTGGTATAGATAAATATAAATTTTTATTGATAGGATATGTTTAAGTTAAAAAGCAAGAATGGTATTTTGACTTACAACAACTTACGCGGGAGGTATATTAATATAATATAATATAGTCATATAAAAGTCAATGAATATAGTATTTGAAAATTTATAAGTAGAAAATTTATTTGATTGCTTTATATGCAAGACTTATTGTAAAATACTTCCCGTTCACGAATAAAAAAAAATATATGCCATAGTTTAACGGTTTTGATAAATACTTACAATCTACATTACTATCACATTGGTGAAATAACGACGCTAACTGTCTACAATACATAAAAAAAAATATGTAATGAACACCTTAAGGTAAGTCCCAGTGGTTGACACTGTCCCAATGTATGACACTTTTGCATTTTTTCTCAAAAAATATTGATATTACTCTAAAACCGTGTTAAATGTACTAGTAACGACATCTTTAAATTTAATTTAAAACCTTTCATTGATTCATTTAATAATTTTTGAATATGGCGAAAGTCTTTGCGAGCAGGTGATCGGCGTGTAACGTGTGTCGCTCTTGTTATAGAAGTCGTGAGTAGTTTAAGTGAATTTATCAGGCAGAATATTGTTAATTACCGGTAAGTGTTTATTAAAACTATAAGATAACTGTAAAAACAATTCATTTTGTGTGTATTTATTGATGTATATCGTTTACATTTTATTTTAGAGGCATGTCAAACACTGGTGCAAAATTTTGATGTTTACTAGTAGTTGACACCTAAGTCAAGCTGTCGTATATATGAATATTTTTTAAAACTTTTCGACCATGTGGTAAGGACGGAGATCATAAGTTTGGATTACTCTGTTAGTGACAAGTTTCTATGGGTAGTTTGAGTAGTGTTTGACGTGGGTGTCAAAGACAGTTTTACTATGGGGACCATTGACTTACAATGTAAGTCAATGATGGGGACCCATAATTTACAGTTGTATATTGAGGTGTCAAACACTAGGGCGTAACTAGTGTCAACTATTGGTTATGGGTATTGTTCAATGAAAAAATGACACTAAGGCTGTGCCTTATTCTGTTAATGACGTATTGAAGGCGGTAGACGAAGTATCAAGATGAATTCCTATCGCAGCAGCTGCGAGAAAATATGGGATACCGCGGATTATTTTACTGCATAAAATTTTACTAACTTAAAATTTCATTACATTTGTATCAACATTTGAGTAACTCATTTTTATTTGATATTTTGCACAGATACTCTAGATGAACGCATTCTTTTGGGTCCTTTAATATAAGTACACATTATTGTTACATCCGTATATTTTCTATTTCTACTTTCTATTTTATATGTTTTTTGCACACACTCACTTACCTTAACTACCAAAGGTAAGTAAATATTTATTAACTTTAATAAAAGCATCCCGATTGATTATAGTTTTTCTTATTTTTTTAATTTATTGTTATCAAGTAATTAACGCGTTTAATTAACTGTGAAATCTTAACATAACGTCCTATCAAATACTGGTAGTCCGATCTCACTGTGCCATAATCAACTATTAGGACGTTAGAAATTTTGCCTGTCATATACACTGGTACAATTTTAGAGGTAGCGGAAAACTGGAATAATGCCTATGATCATTTTAAATTTTATAGTTCCTAGAGTTATCTTCTAGGAACTATAAAATTCTTCTATTCTTATGTCATTTATATGACAAACCGTTTAATATGTTAACATACAGTGGTGGTCGTATAATTAGAAACACTACAAACGGTCCTTGACATTATGTAAGAAACTTCACCGCAATCGTTTTTATTTTGAAATTAAACAATAAATAGGACAACAATAGGTTCAACGATTTATTATTTATTAGAAAAAGAATATAAATCCCACTACACAAGTGCAGTTTCAATATTACATTACGGACAAACACTTAAATCAGTTTTAAGGTATAAACAATAATGGACAACTAATTAGAAACAACACCAAAAAAGTGTAAAAAAACAACATTTTTTAATTATTAGCAATTAGTATTTTTATTTACGAAATAGCTACTATCCACAGCCCACCGATATTTATAATTAATATTTAATGGCGTATCCCTTATTTTCAATAACAGCTCTGCAACGACGTGACATTGATTCAATACATGTCATACATTTTTCTAGGGGGATTGAATTCCATGCTTCAACAAATGCTTCATATAATTTGTTTTGACTGGTGTTACGTTTGTTTGAGACTTTCTTCTTAACAATATACCACAGATTTTCTATCGGGTTTAAATCCGGACTATTTGCTGGCCAGTCTAAAACGGATATACGCTGTTCGCTAAGGAAACATTTGACGCTGTTGGCCGTGTGTTTAGGATCATTGTCATGCTGAAAGATCCAGGTTACAGGCAAATGATCGTCCGAGTAGGGAATCATTGTGTCCTCTAAGATATTTTTGTACTGCCATTGATCCATTGTACCTTCAATCTTCCGAACGGGACCAACTCCACATCCGGAAAAACACCCCCAAACTTTAATGTTTCCGCCATCGTACTTGACTATGCTCCTTGTGTATTTATAATTAAAAGCACTGTTTACAGGACGTCTAACATAGAGCTTTCCATCTGAATTTACCATGTTTATTTTCGTTTCATCTGAAAATAAAACTTTTGTCCAGTCTCGTACCGTCCAATTAACATATTTTTTTGCGAATAATAATCGCTTCTCTCGATGTTGCTTGGTAAGACGCGGTACCTTTCGAGAGGTTCTTCCAAACAATTTAGCTTCCACTAATCTTCGGCGTATCAGTCTTGATGAGACATTTCTGGGGTCATCAGGCGAAAAAACTTCATTTTTAATCTGGTTTGAGCCTTTAAATGGGTCTGTTTTACCAACACGAACGATTAGCTTATCTTCTCTGGGAGAGGTTTTTCTTGGCCGAGCCTTTCTAAGAACATTTTCAACAGTTCTATGTGTTTTATAGTGATCAATTGCATTAAAAACTTTCTTCACAGCACAATTTACATGCTCAGCTATTCTTCTGTATGTCTACTTTTGATCTAAATGTAAATTAACAATTATTTGCCTAGTTGACGCGTCACAACTTTTATTTTTTCCCAATTTGAACAAAATTAAATTCAGATCAAATTTTGAATTGCCGCCAAATTAATAGAAAACATCAAGAAAGAAATGTTATTCTTCAATTTCAAAAAAAGAACGAGCTATAGATGCTTTTTTCAAATGTTTCTAATTAGACGTCCAAGCGGCCAGGAACAGAAAATATACTCGTACATTGTGTAAGACTCATTTTATAATTAAAAGTAAGATACGTAAGATATGTTTTATTTTTTATGCATTTAATGATTTTTTATTTGAGTGACTATATTATTGCATGATTATTTATTATTGAATTTATATATTTTTCACGAACATTTGTACGTTGAAGTTAAACTTGCTTCAATCATAAGTAGTGTTTCTAAATAAACGACCACCACTGTATCTAGGTGGTCAGTATAACTGATAATTAGGTACTTTTTTTTTTGCAAAATACGTGATTTTCCGTCTAAAAGCGTCAACCACTGGGACATTTACCTTACCTAATCAATTAAATTTCTAAAGTAATAATAAATAAATAACGCACACACTCAACATAGCCCCGCACTAGGGAAACTCTGTGTCGCGGGTGCCATGGACACACACATAGACAACCACAAATTACACCCAAACTCACGAGAGAAATAATTGTAGGCCATACAACTATTTCTCTCGGCCCGGGAATCGAACCTGGGACCTCTGCGTGGCAGTCCGGCATGGTAACCGTTCGGCCACGGAGGCAAAATTCGTTAAATTGTACAAACATCAAATTTAAATTTACATACGTATCCGTAACTAATAGTAATTAAAAGTAACGTGTGATAAATAATACATGCTTTAGTCCTAATTCTATGATTATACATATTATACACGTTTACTAAAGGGGACTCGTGTCCTCCGGGAGGACAAACATTATTTCGGTTTGGTATAAGTGCAGAAACATTAACACCCATCACGCTACAAATACTCTTATTATATTCTTACTTTTTAAAACAGTGTAGTAAATTCCTTATTCTGTGCTTCGCGTGTATTTACTTGGTGACCCACTTAGAGAACTGACAAATTACTAGACTATTCTGAACAGTGGTAATTGCCATCACCTATACAGGTATGCCTTTGCAATAAATATAACAAAGTGGTGTCTTATGTGGGACAAAAGATTTTAAGCGTCTTGTGCCTGTGCTAGCTCTTCGTGCTCTTCAAACCGGAACAACGTACTGCTATAAGGTTCTATAAAATCACACCATACCATACCATACTTACCCATTTGGATACTACACAGAGAGAGAACCTTGCCTCTAGTAAATAATGACTACAAACTTTTTTTTTTTTTATAATATCAAGTGATGAGACGAACAAGTCGTGCACCTGATGGCAAGCTACACGCCTGTCCATAACAGTTGCAGTGCTACTCAGAGCTTTAAATCGCAAATATCTGAGGGGCACTGCCACTGCGCCCGTCACCTTGAGACATAAGTTGATAAGTCCCATGTGCCTGTAATTTCACCAGTACCCTTACCCTTCAAAACCTGAACTCTTTCACAAGGAGCTCTGCTGCTACTAACCTAACCTAACCTTGAAATAAAATACTTTAATATCTCTTGCACTTATCGAATTTGTCGTATATGTGCAGGGTGAAGAAGGTGAGGATGAAGTTCGGCTGGACGAGGAGATGGAGCGCGTCGTGTGGAGCGAGGCTGCGCCCGCGCCACCACCGCCCGCGCCAACAGGCGAGCCACGTCGCGATGTCGCTGCGCCGCTGCCGTTCGCGCAGCGACACCGGACAGGTACATATCTATGATTCGTACTAACTGAAATGTATAGTTAACATGTTCGCGCGAGTATTGTGCTTTTGCCGATTGATGCGCCGTGCTTTTTCTCATTTATAAGCGTTCTACAGGCCATGAATGTAACAAATAATGACAATGACGTCTATAAAACGTCGCCAGCGTTGCCTATGTGCGTGCCAGTCATCATATAGTTATGTGTCGCTAGCGCTTACTTTATCCTGTGAAATTTCGACACTGCCTGTCGCTAGAGATTCAATATTTTGATATGTTGTAGAGCAATAACGTCACTATTAAGATTTTATATGGCCAAATAGAGTTCTTCTTATGTTCTTCGGTGAAATTAAAGAAATTAAAGGACGTAAAAGTACGTCGTTTTACATCACTTATAAATGTTTAGCGCTCAAATGTGTTAACATCAAGTGTATACTTTATACCCTGTACTTAGACTTTACCTAAAGCTAAATAGAGATTCTCAAAATTAATTCTTAAATTTAACATACAAAATTTTAAACGTAAAATGTTATACAATTTTAGTGTAAGTAGCTGACATATTATTTGTTTGTATAAATTTACTTCCTAGATTTAAAAGCAAATCTAGAAATTGGCAAGCTTACACAAGCTTCAAATGTATGTTATGATGACATCATCGGTAACATGTTGTCAGGTGAGAGGGACGCCAAATGCGCCTTTAATTTTTTAATTAAAAAAGGACATTATCAATTCAATAAAAATTTAAATACAGTGTATAGCGACATCTCTAGCCGTGACTGGTAGCTGTAAAGGTATCTAACTGGGTGACGAAATACCTTCATAGATTTCTCATAGATGGCGCTACGGCTAAAAAGTCATTTATTATTATTTATTTAGGCAAAAACCAAATACAAAGACACGACAAAACACATAGAAAATTTCGTGAACTTCGCGGGTTCGTTCCTTGGCTTAGTTGGTATAGCGTCTGCCACGGTATGCTAGAAGACGTCGTTTCGAATCTGGCCGGATCGAAGGAATTTTTTCTAAGTGTATTAATAATTATAACAAACTAGTGAAGTAATTTCATATTAAAAATAATTTAATATCAATTCAATAAAAAATTAAGAACAGTTTCCCTATCTCAAAAACAACACTGAATGTTCATTGGCTAAGCACTTAGCGACACGTATTAGCCGAGTGACGTCACACAGTTGACATAGCCCTCATTTGGGGCTACTTCTTGTAATATTACAGGAAATGGATTTTAATTGATTTTTAAATTTTATTCTAAATTAAACACGTGTCAATAAAACTTTGTGTATTTTTACAATACATATAAATTTAAAATTAGTTGCGATTTTACTGCAAACTTAAACACTTGTTTTGTTACAAATGTATTTTTTTTAGCAAATCAAATTTTAGCATAATTACAATATATCTAGGAAATGAAACTATTTTTCCGGATGTAAATCGCGTGTATTTGTTTTTTCAAACAAACCGACGTTTCAATATTAGACATAACTGGTTGAAGACTGTACCACCTCAGTCAACCGTGACCATGGGACCTGTAAAGGGCCCGAAACGTCGATTAGTTTGAAAAAACAAATATACACGATTTAAATCCGGAAAAATAGTTTCATTTCTTATGTGTAACAATCGCGAAAACCTAAGAACTCTTTACAACATATCTTTTATAATGTCAAGTGACGGGACGAACAAGTCATGCGCCTGATGGTAAGCTACACACCAATCCATAACAGTTGCAGTGCCACTCAGAGCTTTCAATCGCAATGACCTGAAGGGTACTACAACTGTGCGCGTCACCCTGAGACATAAGTGAACAAGTCTCATGTGCCTGTAATTTCACCAGCACCCTTACCTTTCAAAACCGAATCACAATAATGCTGACATTACTGCTTGGCGGCAGAAATAGGCATAGATTAGGTGAGGTGACAGTACTTGCCTGGACGAACTCTTTCACATGGTGCTCTACTGCTACTAAATGAACGATATTATTATGTAGCACCAAATGAGAGATATTATGTATATATTGTTTACTGCATACAATAAAATAAATAAAACGGAAACAAAATATATTACACCGTAACTGAAATATTCAGTGATAAATAATTTTTAAATTCTAAAACGTTTTAAGGGTCCCGTAGTTTTTCTTGTTTGTATTACTTAACAAAATTGTCAGTAGTTTTCTTACCTTGGTAACTATGCTGTAGTGCTTAAATTGATTCAATATAAAATGTAAATGTAAATCATCGAATTTTGTCAGTACGCTGTTGATACTTCTTTACCTGATATAAGCAGTAGGTAGGCGGCAACTACATAGAAAGCACTTGGAAATTGCACTGCAAAGCCTGTAGTTTTTTGAGACCATAAAGCGAAACAGGGTACCCCGTACTATTATCATATTCTGATTTTTAATTTTACAGTAAACGCTGTAACTGTCCGTACAAAGGTTAACACGGGGCTTGGTAGTGCGTGTTCTCCATAACGTGCAGTGCGGTACTGCGCACGCTAACATCTTGATTTTCTTCGTTGTCAACAGTCGAAATGAAATCTGCTATTTTTGGTTTCACGTGACCAATTTGCAAATGAATGTTAATATAAATAAATATATTATCCAACGAGATAAGTGAAAATTAGCGTGTTAAATGTAATTTCTACAAAACAATGCAAAATCACGGTATTGAATTTTTTTTAAACAAGTAACAATTTTGTTTTCATCCAAAATAATACGTTAAAAATTTTTTTTAAATATTTTTCTCTACAGTATATGTTTGTATTTTTATATACATATATATTACATCTAGTCCTATAGAACCGTAGTTTTCTAGCAGTAATACATTGATTAACAGTTTTGCAGGTTTCTTGCCCCAAAGTGCGACGTCTAGTCAGCACAATCTGAATACCTGGAAAAATGTCGTGGTATGAACGCACGAGGAATGCGTTAGTAACTGTAACGCAGGTCATGTTATATACTTATTCTCATTGTATATGAAATCAAGTAGGTACCTACTTATGTTTGTATTTGTGGGTGACCGTAGGCATTATTTATCTTTTACTAGCCTCATTACTTGTTGTACTTATTTATAATGGCTACTCTAACGCAAGTCCGTACGCACAACCGCCATGAAGTGAAACCTGCAATATAGTTCGTTTTGTATTGCAGAACGCACAGACGCTGGTGCTGGCGGCAGCTCGCCAAGCAGCGAAGAGCAGTCGCCGCGCACTCAACATAGTTCCGGCTCTGACCATCCGGTAAGTACAGGCATGTTCTCTCAAACTGTAAGCGAATTAACTGAAAGGTCAACGACATATATACAAGCAGGTTTGCGTCTGTCGGTGATAGCAACGTCTTTACGTAGTGTTGTGACTGAGAAACGCTTTCAACTTCGCTTAGTCAGATTACGGGAAAAAGGAACAGCAAATGTTTCTTTGTTGATTGGTTGTTGACTTAGTAGTTTTTCGCAATAATTGACTTACTAAATATCAAAATCGGGCTACTTATTCCCGTATAAAAAATTATGGAAAATTTTGAGACGGTATCTATTAGCATATTATTGAACAGTGTAGGTGAGGCAGAACAGAATCCAAGGAGTGTTAATTTCGTTATATTTGACAGAATTTATTATTTACTTGTGTTTCCCGTCTGTCTTGCGGTTGGGAAACTTCACGTCTTCGACGACACGAAAATTAAGGATTGCAAAAATTCTTTCATATATTAGGTTTCATCTATGTTTCTTTCATATTTAAAGCAACGCCAAAGAATTCATAGTTTATCTGCACATGAAAAGCGTATATAACAAGAAGTGCGACCTGCAAGTCCGTTAGCTTGTACTTACGGTGCGCTCGCGACGTGACACGTGCTACCGCTGCAGAACCATCACTGCCCCGTAAAAGCATACTCATGATACAACACGAATAAGCTTCTTGCTATTTTCGGACTTCTGGGGGAGACTGCTACTATTTATGTCTATTATTGTCTGCCCACACGTGACAGTGCAGTCCTGTTATAGATTCCGGCCCAGGTTGGTTGGTGATTGACGCGGCATACAATTAAATAGTTGATGCCGGGTAACAGTCGTGAGTACGGTAATGAGACATCGAATCACGATGAACAAGGTCTGTCATTTATACGGTTTAAAACATAGGAATCAATTGTATATAGGTTGAAACTTAGAACCAATAGGTTTTTAATGATAGATAGGTACTAACAGAATGAACATCCCGTTTATTTGTAAATAGCCTAAGCTTAATTTAAGGCTGTCTCTCTGTTGTCTTCTAAAATATACTACAATCTGGCAGGAACTTGCGAATGCAAGTAACCGACAAGTTGTATATAGAGCTGTAACAGAAAAAATGACTCTTTCGGAAAGTAATGTGATAGTACAACGAGAGGCTGCCGCAGGGCTTAGGCGCGTCATCGGGATCAGGCTCCGGTGACGGCGGCAGCGCTCGCGACGACGACCGACACGTCCAGTTCGGTGCAGACGCCACCCACGCAGGACAGGAGGCGACACCATCTGACAATGTCGGCGCCGATCCTCTAGACGACGCTGATGATGAACGGCGTACACAAAGGAACGCGTAAGTAGTGTAGTAAGTGTTACTTATTCAGGAAGTATGTACATCACAATGCGTACATATCTGCCATATACCTGAGCCAAATAAGTAAGTTGTGCGTATGCTACTTATTTGCTCTAGATATACTTAGTTCGGGAAATGCTGTGACTTAACGCTTAAATTGACTACATGCAACAACAACACAAGTGTCAAGTGCTCTTAACTGTGCTTGCACTATCCAGCTTCTGCTCAAAGATGAACCATTCCACAAATATAAACACTTTTCCGATTTACATATAGGTATCACAATCTAGTGCCCTGCCACCTTCATTCCAAGCGCGTCTACACCCAAGTTGCATCGCTTCAAAAAACAAGTTGAAGTGGCATCAGACCGTAGTTCCATATATCGTGGTACCCATACTCAGTTTTTTAAAGTAAATCCGTTTTTCAAACCTAACCCTAAAATAAATTATATAAAAATAGGGACTTTAATTTTATAGGAAAACATCACATTATTATTTAACCCGTCACGAGTACTACGGACGTTTTGGTGAATAAAAAATTAAAATTTTTATAACTTTTCTAAATGGTGGATGAAAACACAGCTGCGCATTAGGTAAACCGTCCCTTTAGGACGCTATGTTGTCAATGGTTAAAATTACAGGTACCTCCTAAAAAGTAGGTATACAACGTGAGCTTAAAGAATGAATTGGATTTCTTCTCATTTAAAAAGTCAGAACTATTTACAGGCGGATATTTTACACAGCCTTTGGCACCGTTAGTGCATCTGTGCTGCGCAATGAAACGGTAATTGAATAAAAACAAATAAAGAAAAAGTCGCGTATGTATAAGTACACCTGAATACAAATCGTTGGTTATGTATCATCCTTTTTTTTTTATGAAATTTTTATGGATACCCCTGAGCCCAGGAAGACTCAGGGGTTATGTGGGAACTCTCCCTCCAGACTGGAGGGCCTACCCCACTAAAACCCCCCCGGGTTTCCCTCTCGCCGGTTGAGTCGGCGCCTTGGGATCAGTGAGCATTCACCACGACGCCGCGCCGCCCGGCCGCCCTAGCTTACGCCAGGGCTCCCGCGCCAACGGAGGGGCGAGTCGGTTGTCCTCCGACCCGCCCCCCAGACGAGTGAGGCCGTGCAAAGCAGGCTCCGGAGTCCCTGTCCAGAGCCCGCTGGTCTCACTAGGGGATTAGGCGAGCAGCGAACTGCCTTCGCCTTCTCCCCGTACGTCTGCGCCGGAGCGGGTGCGCGTCTGCCGCATCCTCGCGCACCCGCTCCGCGGCCTCCTTTTGCGACATAACCTCTGAGCAAAAGGAGGGGTTATCTATCATCCTGCCGTCGACGGCACTGTACAGGTTGTGTGACCATTGTTGCGCCTCCGCCGCCGACGGCGGCGGCGGCAGGCGGCAGACAAGTTTCGAATAAATTTCATAGAAGCGTAGTGTCAGTTGCGGTCGGTAATTGCTGTCTGTCGTCTATCAAATCGCTCAGAATACAGTGATTTTCAGGTATTTTTGTACTCAATTTTGGTGACAATTTCCTATTATTGATATATTTATAGAATATCATCATGAAGCATTATTTAATATTCGAGGGTGCTACCCTGAAATATTCTTTAATATTTCACGATGATATATTCGAGTAATTAATAAAAATTGTCACCAAATTTGAGTACCAAAAACTTACCTGAAAATCACTGCATAGTAAATTCGCACCGACAACTAGACTTATCATTCCATGCAAATTCGTTTAAAAATCTTACAGTGCACAAATGGTCTTTTTAAACCAACGCTACAATTTAGTGACACTGTAGACGATATTTTTTCTTTCATATTTATTTTCAAAAAGAAATAATGTGCATACAGATACAGAGTAACAAAACATTAACTTTTTTTTCTACGAAACAAAATCACTAATAAAACACGTCCATGCAAAAAATATTTAATTTATTTATGTAAAATTCTTCTAAGAATATTTATCTCGTGAATAAAGTGCAGTATTAAACTAATAATTGCGTTTGCGTGATAGGGAAGGTTAAGAAATACTGCCGCCCATACTGATGCGTTCATTCGCCTGGTAATCTGAAAGTAAGGGCACTCGCGATTTGTTATTCCCGTTTACGCATGTGTTACGTCCCGAGGCGAGGAGGATTCTCCAAAGAATCGAAGGCGGTGAGAAACGAAACGAAATTCAAATATTCTATAAAGTACTAAGGATTTCTTATTGTATTTACGTTATAAAAAATTCTGTAGGTGTCATCCCAATTATTTGCTAATTATTATTTTATATTTTTTGTCACCCCGTATAAAGGAACTGCTCAATACATGAACCAACAGTGTATTCTCAGAGACGCTGGCAATCGTGTTGTTGACGCAATTAGTTTCAGTAGTACTATATATATTCTGACACTGACATTGTACGCGCGAGCATGTGACACTGTTTTGACGGGCATGTGCCCACGACTCGGGAGACAGTGTGCTACGCGGCTCGCTAGTGTAACCCCGCTGCTCTCCCACGCCGAAGGAAAACAATCGGCGATGCCGGTGACTTACTCGCGCGCCTCGGATGCGTCGCACCAGCGGTCAGTTGGTCCCGTACCGTCTTCCACTATTATATTTTTCACGACAGTCGTACGTAGTCACCATAAATTCGTAGAATATGTTGATCATGATGAATATGTGTAAAAGATAAATTGCAAACGTGAGGCCGTTACATAAACAAGTAGATAAATAGTTTCTAGTTGTGCACGTAATTGAACGCTAATGAGAGAATATCGCCAGCTCACCCCGCCACCGTCCGTCACCTCACTCGCAAAACGGTCACTCTACCCCGCATTCCGCGCCCCGTTATTAGTTGATAATAATTAGGTACACTTCCGCAAACAACATTTTGGCAGGGTGATGCACTCAGGCTAAATTATGTGCAATCCTTACCAAGCTGTTTTGCATTTATTTTATTACTTACTTTACCTAGAAGTTAGTATCAACAAAAACATCTAGTTACGGACCATTTAACTGATATACGACAAAAACATTTTGAATACCTATTATATCCTGCAATCAATTCCATTAATCCATTAATGGAAGGTAGTTTGTAATATCATGAACGGTACCGGCACTGTCATGCAGACCTACCTCATAAAAATGGAAAACTACTTAAGTCAAGAGCACGTCAAAAGTAAGAAATACCTTAGTATCGACAATACTTACTTATTTTACATCATATTAATCAAAATAAAAAAATATTTTTTTCACAATTCGTTAATTTCCTATTTAATCAAATGGTTGTTGCATGTGAGTTATGAAACGTAGTGAATGGCTCAGATTGAAATATTTATTGACTCCGCTGACGCACTTATTAGAGCACTCAATTTTAAAAGGAACATTGTAACACGATTTTTGTTTCTGGGTTATCAATATCATTTTCTAATTGGTACTAACATAGAAACATGAAAAACTTTAGAACTTTAGCGAACTTTATTTCCCCGCAAAAACTTTGCTTTTGTGGTCATGAAATTTGCTTATCACATTTTCGATGTACAAATTTTCGGATTTTTCTTCATTTAAAGGCAAAAAGAGAACATTGTATACTACAAATTTATGACAAAGAACCTAGAAATGTGTAGATTTGCGAGATTACGTAAATTCAACTATGTAGCTATGTAAATAACATTGTGACAGCCACAAAAACAGAGTTTCAGGGTGATTTTCCTTTTTTTGCACACTCGCTGCTCCATTAAAAAGAAATCAATATTGTCTAACCAGCGGGCCTAACATAACCTTTCAAAAATCAATCTTATTTCAACATAAGCTTAAAGTAAGCTTTTTATAATATTACTCATATTCGTACCATGACAAACCTATCAACCAAGTAATGTATTATTGCTAAAGTGACTGAAAGAACGAATGATTTCCCAATATTGTTTATTTCTTACTAAAAATAGGAAAGAAATAACGCTATATGAACTGTATAATGCCATCTCTTTCTTTTTTGATGTTCCGAATCCTATCCTATCGGAGTTATATATACCTATAGTAGAATTTTAATTGCCAGAAAATTTATGTAATATTGAAATCTATTAAAATTACGTTGTTTTCAATTGTTTTTCCGCATTTTCATGAAGAAGAACAAATAAAACAAGCTGAGTCTTGATTGTCACGTTGTGAATTCGGAATTATAGTCTAGTGTCAACTGTTAGTGTCGCCAAGGAGCATGTAGTTGCATCCGTGTAACTATTATAAGATTGCTAAATTTGACATAAGAACACTATTAGTTTAATGGTAAAGTCACGTCATAGTACGAACTGAGTGAATGAATAGGCACAAAGCTGCCAATAAACCATTATAAGTCTAACATTATAATAAGCTTACTTTAAGCGCGTCGTGATACGAAAAGTCAATGTAAGGTTAAAGTAATATTGTTTTAGAGGCTGTGGTAGGACCTTTTTGGAAATTTGTTACATATTACCATAACTGAATAACGAAGGTACTTAATACCTTTGCAATATTTGCGGTACAGGTTAAAGATTCGTATTCCAGGCGCCACCTGCATCCGCATCAGAAGTCGCGCAAGTATTCACTGCAAGAGGGCGGATCGGGAGGTGGAGGAGGTGGGGGTGAAAGACGGGTGTCCATACCACCCGCGGAGGAGCCGCTGGCCGAAACAGACCGCGAAGAGTTAAACGCGCACCGTAGCGATGATCCGCGCGCCCTACGCCGGCACCTCATACACCCGAGGGTGAGTCCATGCACCGCACCTAACTAAAATCTAGTTACATAATACATTATTACAATATTTAAGACAAACCCTTGAGATAGGTAGGAACGACTTTCATCGACAAAAAACCCCGATTTTTTTTTCTTTTATTTTATATCAAGTGACGAAACCTTACCCTTCAAAACCTAATGCCGACATTACTACTTGGCGGCAGAAATAGTTATGGTGGTTACATTATTACCCTGGACGAACTCTTTCACAAGGAGTTTTACTACTACTAAAATAAATGTTAGAGAATATAACTTGTCATAGTCCTTATGTGAACTTTTAAATATACCGCAATAATGTGGTCCCTAAGAGAAAGAAAAGAAGAAAAAGATTTCACTAAAATTATAACGCACTTAATTGTGGCGCGAAATATAGAAACTTAGAATTTCGGTAAGATTTCTCGTAAAACCACTTATCATTGTTATAATAGCTTATGTCTTGGAATGGTTAGGCTTTGAAGATCAGCTGCCATAACAAGTAAGCATAATTTCGCATTTAAGTTCTCTTTATAATTTGGGCATTGGCCCATTGACTTACAATTAATAAAAGTCAATGCATTGGCCTATAAGCCTGTATGAGACCTAGGATTTAGGTCACAATTAACTACTAAACTAGGTATCGATCATAGAAATTGAACAATCAAAACGCCGTATTATATAATGTTTTGTCAATGACATTGATCTAGTTATGGTGTATACAATATTGTTGCTATACTGGCGCGTGTAGACCCCGTAGTTTGATCTGATACTGTTCCAATGCAAAGCTTTTTAAATCTAAGTCCATAACGGATATTTGTCCAAAATACCCCTTTATATTATTGCAATTTTACCACGTCGTTGGCTCGGCAGCTATTCAATCCCATGTTCGATACATAGTAGAGTCAATTTGGAAATTAAACTTTTCTAAATTGCTTCAGCTTTTCAGAAGTAACTATAGAATCATTATGTTTTACTTAATCGTAAATATACATGTATATAGGTAATATATAGTTTGTAACTGGGTGATTGTAGTAGTGTGTTGAAAATTTATTCCATTTATGCACGTCTCGGCATATTTCGTGCAGGGCTCAATTGTACACGTTGGTCGGAGCGACGGCGGCGACAAGGCCCACGAGTTTCTGCCCGACGCCACCTATAAGAAGATGTACGATCACAGCCCACACTCGGTACGTGAACAAATATTGCAAAGTGCGCTTTAACTCTGTAACGCTTTTCTGAATTTTAACATTGATTTAAGCGCTGAAAACTAGTCTGGTAACAAATGCAACATTCTAATATGTAACTTGTAAATTTTAAAATGTAGAGAACTCGATGCAACAAAGGATAGTTTTTGAAAAAAACAAAAAAAAAATTTGCTCTGACAATTATTGTTTTATACGATCAAATTTAAAAATAATAGATTCAAGGATGTTGACCATTTATCAAAACAGAAACGGATTCCTGAAAACTTTATATAACGTCTTGTAGCTTTAAAACTTATGAAGATATCGATATATACAACAAAGTTCAGATCCTCGTGTACACTTTCTAGCCATCATACATTTTAAATGTATTACGATTCCTTTAAATTTGGCGTATAGGTAATTGTGGATAAATCCAGTGAGTAAATTGACGCGAAAACCTTTCTGAATCACGTAAAAGCACTTTTACGTTTAATAGGCATTTCTTGTCGTATCCCAATACCATTGTAAAATATTTTTACTTTTGTTTTATGTACCTACTAACACACTCTACCTTCAGTTAACAACTAATTATTATTTGTTACCGTACCATTGCGTGTACAGGTGTTCGTCCAGCTAGACGAGCTCCAAGCGGGCGATGACGGGGAGGTTGAGTGGCGTGAAACGGCGCGCTGGATCAAGTACGAGGAAGCGGTGGAGGAAGGCTCAGCGCGTTTTGGGCCACCCCACGTGGCCAGTCTGTCTTTCCACTCGTTGCTTAACCTGCGCCGCTGCCTCGAAACTGGCGTGGTGCTCATGGACCTCGACGAACGCGACCTGCCGGGCGTCGCCTACAGGTAAACGATGTCGCGAAAAATTAGATCCTTTGGAGTCTGGATAGATATTAAAACTGGCACTGTGTAGGGTGGCGGAGAGCATGGTGGCGGAAGGCCTTATCGGAGCTGATGACGAGCCGGCGGTGATGCGCTCGCTGCTATTGCGGCACCGGCACGTGCACGACGGTCGTCCGCGCTTCTCTATCAGTGGCGCAATCCGAAAGCATTCCTCGTACACCAGTTTGCAGGTGATACTTCCCTATTGAACTAATAATACTAATATTAAATGCACTTTCCGATGGGATTGGTTTTCCTACAATGCTTAACAGTCGTTTGCTGTACGTGGAATGTCGTCATAATATACTATAAATACATTAAAAATGGATCTTGGTGATGTCACGTATAGTTAAAGACTGCAACAAAACGTTGGTAAACGTAGGCATGCATACGTTATTCGAATATGTAGAATAGACATGAGGCATCGGCGAGCTGCCAATAGCGCAAGAATTTATTTAAATTGATAACGATCTCTACATCATACAACAACACGATACGAGTACGATAATCCAAACAAAATTTTTATTTCGGAAAGTATTAACTGTTAGATGTATAAGTCTTACCTTTCCATTTTTTTCCAGCCGGAAATTACAATTTTGTTAACAGCTCATCTATATATATAATAGATTACGTTGGTAGCACAGTGACCCAAAGTTAGTCTTCCAGATTCGCCCGCGCCCCACGATTTTGAACCTGTAGAATAGCGACCTCTAATTGAAAGAACTGGAAAGAGCGGAAATCGTGCGTCTGAATTTCGGTTGTTACGTCACTAGACTTAAGGTAAAAATTGAATACGGTAAATAATAAGTTAAAAAGGACAACTCATAATTTTATTTGATTATTGGAGCAAGAAATAAAAATAAAAATTTCATAAATGACCAAAATAAAGTCAAAGTAACTGTGAAAATACGATTTCAGAAAAATACAAAGGATGTGTCAAGTTTCCAAGTATAATTATTATGGTAGGCTGTCGCAGAGCGCTTTTGTACTATAGGTACTCTAAAGTAACCGCAATGCATTTGGGTTTTGTTAACATTTTGTCAAGTTTTGAGTGACTTTACTTCATTTAAATAATAGGGGTTAAAGTATGAAATTGCCGATTTGTACTGAAAATC